GTGTGAGCCTTCATTTGATCACGTCCAACAGTACTGAAACACCTGCAGAGGACCGGGTGTTGGGGGACCGGATTTCACTGCAGCTATTTATTCCGCCCACATCCAGTGAAGCTGTGAGTGGCAGCAGGCCGGTGTCTGCCCCGGTCCCTCGGGTGGGACCGTGTGTCACGTCACTTTAAAGGCACGCAGGTCAGCTCCGCTACACGTGCTGTACATGTTCTGCTCCGCTTAGAGCTGGATGACCGCATCCTGTGGTACAAGAGCATCAAGGTGTGTATGGGAAGGTTGAGTGAGGCTCTGTATTTGAAGTGGATCTGATCATCCTTGAGCGTCTACGCCGGTGCGCTCGAGTGTGTCCCGTGTCACGGAGACAATCTGTCCGGTAGTGAGTGCACGTGGTTTCAAGGACAGGATGTAGATAAGTGCTTTAGCTAGCGCATTTTGCAAATCTCTGTCAATGCTGAAACCATGAATTTAATTCAATTAAATCTTTAGTATCTCTTGTTAATGGGCGAATATTGACTGTCAGCATGAAACCACATTCTGTATTCCATGTGTGCAAATAGTGAGGCTCATTTTGTGGTGTTATGGATAAGTGTTGATCCCCCCCCCTCCCTCGCTCACAGGCCCCACGGACATCCCTCCTCCGCCTCCCGTCCCTCTCCTCCTTCCTTCTACTCTTTCCTCTGCCTTTCTCCCTCCATCTTACCTATTGATTGGCCAATAATGTTTTTTCAGTGGTAGATTAATGGCACATTACCCTGACAAGAGTGTCTGAGGGGACAGGACGTGAGGGAGGGCGTGTGAGACGATGCTTTAATTGATACACGTTTTTGTGTGTGTGCACGTGTGTGCTAGTGTGTGTGCTAGTGTAAGTGTAAAGAATTTAAAGGAAAAGACCATTATTTTTTAATTGTTTTACAAATATTTGATTTAACTGGGTAATATGTCGGTAGTGTTGCCGAAAGCAAAATAAAGTTTTTATTTTGTTAATGTTTTGGTCATATCATTTCTATTCAGCCTACATTGAACCTATAATTCCTACAAAGCAGTTGAAAAATTAAAGATAGTTCTTATGTCTTCTAAGCCCTGTGGACATTATTATACTGTGTTAATTGTTTGGGGTTATGAAAGAAGACAGTTCTGCTATTACTTGAATTGATCCAATAGATCAAATCATATGGCTTAAATACAACTCAAATATGTACGCACACTATGCGAGATCCATGCCTTGTGGTCATGTTGGTCGGTCGGTTTGATCTCAACGACACAGACATTCGTGGTGCACAGAAGATCAATCTTTTACCGTGGCTCTCCCCTAACTTTAACTTCAGCGCCACAATGAAGTTGAAACAGGGGGGGTTAGATGATGCACATGGTTACACCTGCTAGACATCAGCATGCTGTTCTTGGCAATGTGAGCATGCTGACTCTAGCAACCTCACAAAGTCGCTAGAACAGCTGGGAACTTGGTGTTCCTCAATAGTATTTGATAGGTTAAAAGTCAAATATAGCCTATTCTCCTACATTCAGCCTAATCTCTACAATGGCCATTCAGACTTTGTAGGTATCGGAGCGACAAGATTTTGGCAACAGGGTTGTTCCGGCTTCCGTATGTAGCATTGACCAATCAAATAGTCTGTGTGCACAATACAGTCTCGGAACTCAAGTCTCACGCCTCAAGTAGCTAATAAGGACTGTACATAATCAGCAGTGCATGTAGAAAGAAAGCCTGGATATCCGCTTGGGGTTATCTGTGTACCCTCAAATGTTATATCTGCTACTCAATTTATTATAGAAGAAGCTGATGACTTTAGTTTACACCATCATGTTAACCTGGTAGATTGTCCCACACAGATAATCATCCAAACTAGCTTCATATTACATATTTTCTAATCTTTTTGTAGACAGCAGTTTAAACCATGAAAAAAAGAAGTTTTGCAATCACTGAATTGAATCGTTAAACTTGCTTTGCAATTAATCGCTGGCCACGGTCCAATCTGGTCTCATGGTGTCCCTGCACTCTCTCCTCTCTCATCACTGTCTCTGCATCACTTACTTTTATCTGATTTCATCCGCTCTTCCGTCGTTCAATTTCCCTCCAGCAATCTGCTCCATGTAGAGGAGGGCGTGGGGGGTGGAGGGACTAAATTATCAGATCAATAGGCCATCAAAGAGCCTTTAAGTGTGACACATACACATACCTCCTGTCTCAGGTTCCGCTCTAACTAATAGCCTTGTTGTTTACTTTACAACGTGCCGTTTCGTGTAGTCTTTGGTCCCACGTTGCATCGAGACGCCCCGGGGGGAATCCCTGGACAGACCTGGTGCTGGAGACACAGTTTTGTGTTTGAATCGGTCGAGTGTTATCAGGGTGACCAACATCGTTGAGATGTTGTCGAAGTGAGAGCGGTGGTTGATACGAATTTTCGCTGATCGGCCTATTATTCGGCGCTCCATGTAAAGTCTTTCGGTGACCGTCTGTCTGTGCTGTCCTGTCGCAGAAACATGTTCAGGGACAGTCTCTCACATCGTCTTGGGCGATGACCTTTGTCAGATGACTGGGAGAGGTCAACAGAGGTTAAAGTAACAAGCAGGCTGAGAGAGGGGCCTCCATCTAGTCATGCAGAAAAGAGCTGCTAGAGAGTCTTTCTCCCCCCCCCCCCACACACACACACAGTCACAGTCACTCTTCAACCAACAGGAACAGGACTTCCTCGCTCCTGACCAGCCAGACCTCAGCTATAGAGAAGCACAGATCCATGCAGAAATACAAACATTATCGTAGGTTTTCCAACACAAACACACTCATCAACTGGTCGCCCCCCCTACCCCCCTCTGCCCTCACCCCTCACTCTCTCTCTCTCTTTCTCTCTCTTTGTTACACACTCTCCTCCGGTCCTCTTCATTCAGTCGTAATCGCACACAATCAGGCTTCAGTGCACAGACGACTGTGATGAGCTATGACAGGGCATTAGGCGGAAGGCAAGTACAGTAAGAATGGGAGAGGAGGAAAAAAAGGAAAAACAATTAGCACTTCTTATAAGAAAAGAATTCAGGTGAATTTGTACATGTATGTCTGATGTACTCGCGAAAGGTCATTCATAATGAATACAACTTTATATAAAAAAAAATGATATTCTCTTTAGTCTGGAGTTCTAGCCAGAGTGTCCTCGAGGATGGATCTTCAAGTTACGTCTCCATTAAATACAACTTAAATGTTAATAACATACCATTTGGCCACACCTTGCATCTCAACAGTCTGCCATCATGTCTGAGCGGATACCCGCCAGGGATTGTGGGTACTAAGCAGTGGTGTGACTCCACAGCTCTGAAACTAGAGACCGCCCGCTGGACATAACAGGCCGCTCGTCTTCAACGAATCGACACACACGCACACAAAACGCGCGTCTCCCAAACACACACACACACACACACACACACACACACACAATGATCCGAATATGCATTAGAGATTTCTTAATTTTTTTGGACGCAGTGGATCAATAATCAGCAAATAGCGTTTTGATTTTTAATGTTGGATGCTGTTTACGTCATAGCACCCACTGTTTGCCTTTTAAGTCCCCGTTCAGTGATTTAGTGCCACGTGGATACTAGTGTGGAGGGTCAAAGGGCACCACTGACGACGTCTACTCACTTTCAGCTGACTTTCAATCCAGGAAGTGGATTTTCATTAAGTAAGGAAAAATGGCCTGATTTTATTTCTTCTTTGACAATTGCTGTAAGAGGATTTTATTTTAAATTATGTTGTTTAGTTCTCCACTACTAACAGATCATGTGTTAAGTCGAGGCGATTCAAGTTGAGGCTGAAACAACGTTCCCGTGAGACAATAATAAAGTATCAAATTGTAATGTTTAGACTGAGTTTCCAAACAGTACAACTTCACACTGCAAATCCTTTAAGACTCCCACAATTCTGAGACTTTTCAGAAATTAGACTCTTTAAATAACAAAAATGAGCTTTAAGGAGTTCAGTTGAAAAAAATGAATCTGCTAAATATAGCCCACATTTTTTTTGCTTTTTTAAGAGAAACCAGTTCAGAAAAAAAGTTTACACCGTCAATCCGCGGTTTTTTATGAGTAATAAAATGTATGCTAAGGAATTTCAGCTGTAATCATCCAAATATTGACTTGGCTGCTTACTGACTTTTTCTCTGTTAATAATCCTGGATGTTCCACATTATAAAGAGTCACATTCAACAAAAAAGCTGATGGAAGAAGACGTGTTGTCAAGGGATCGAAGCTACAAACCCTGTTTCTTTTTAGAGGATGTTGCGGTGCATTGATTCACTCTGCCATCCGAGGTGTATTTCCAAAGCACCAAGCCATATCTTAGTCAGCTGGATTTGAGGATAGTCCATAAGGAGTAAGCCTTTGTTGGGTTTTCTGTAGCGGAAGTAAATATTTCTATTGTGCACACTCTTGTAATTAGGCTGAGGCTGCTGGTAAATTGGTCTGTGGCTTTGGTACGACAGCAGAGTGGCCTCCGATCATCTCAAACAGAAACCTAGTGAGAAACAGCATCAACTCCCTGCATGTCCTTTACGTGCTGCATGGATCACCGTTATAAAATGTGGTGCTTGTGTTGCTCTCGACGTTGTGTAGTTGGTATGAACGTCCAGGTATATCTGGGAGCTTTTACATAGAAGTTGAGTTTCTTCCCTGTCCGTCCATCACTTCCTGAATCCAAGAAATGTGTACAGGCCATATTGACCAACATGCATCCATGTTCCAAATGTTTTGGGTTTTTTTCATTTCCAAACTTACTGATACTATTACAGTATATATGACTTCTTTTTTGCTTTGATTTTGCCCATTATTTATATAGATATAAAGTCTTCTTATATTTGTATCTAAAAAATACTTTTTGCAAACTTCTTTGAACAAAATGACGTATATTGTATCTGTATCTTTTGCAGTTTTCTAAAATATATGGTGATAAAAAGTTTTCAAAATAGAGAATAAGTCCTGTGAAAATATTTCTTGAATAAAGATATTTTAATTACAGTTTCAATAAATGGTGTAATGAGCTAATAGACAAATGTTGACTAAAGTAAGAATAGTAAGATGCTCCGAAAAAATAGACATGCGTGAAACATTATTAAATGTTAATTACATTCATTTAAATACATAGATCATTTCAGTAATTCAAAATCCATCATGATACAGGAAATGCATGCAAATGGCTAGGCTATAGTAATTTCTTTGGTGGCTTAGGCTGCTGGAAAATGATGTTGTCAATAATAATAATAATACAAATTATGAGAATAATTAAAATATTAATAAGAATGCTTTGTCATGTAAACAATAAATGTAAGGGTTGATACTGTTTAGGCCTCTCTCGGGCTATCATTAGCTTAGCCTGCTATTTCCTAGAAACGGCTACGTGTATAGCAGGTTTAGTGCCCGGCCTATATCCGAAAACAAGAGCTCTGAGTGAACAATAAATACAGCCGGATCAGCTTAATTTTCAGTGATATGTAACAACCCCATCTGTGGGCGCACTTTGCAGTCTTCATAAAACAGTAAGGCCGCACACCCGACCCGACATCTAAACACCTTTTCTTTTTAAATGCTTGAAACTTGGCAAACAGACCACCCAAAAAAAACAAAAAACAACCGAGTGTCTCTTCCACGCGTGGACCCGCCGAGAGCATCATACGTCCCCGTCGTACAGGCTGAAGTACTTGCTGGCGTTCGTGAAGCAGAGGTAAGGCGTGCTGCTCCCCGGGTACACGACGGGCAGCGGCATGGGCAGCAGGCATCTCCCCAGCAGGTTGCTCTCCTTGTACAAGGCCGGGAGCTGCCCCGCCGCCACGGGCTTCCCCGTCTCCGGGTAATCGCTAACGGGTCCGTCGATTTCGGTGGAGATTTGCCGTTTCAATTTATTCCTGCGGTTCTGAAACCATATTTTCACCTGGGTCTCCGTGAGCTGGAGGGAGCTGGCGAGGCATGCGCGCTCGGCACTGCTCAGGTAGCGTTTCATGTCAAAGGTGGTCTCCAACTGGAAAATCTGTCTCTTGGAGAATATGGTGCGCGTTTTCTTTTTCGTTATCATTTTGCTTTTCTTCGCGGGGCAGCCTCCCCTGTGGGTGTCCGTGGCCGCGGCGGCGGCGGTGATGGTGGTGGTGATGGTGGTGGTGCTGTCGTCACAGCTGCTGTCCCCGCTCTCGAAGCGCACCTCGGTCGCCGTCTTCAGGTCTCCGCGGCCGGCGATGGACGATTCCGTTGCTTCGCTGCAGGCTGTGATCAAATCTGCGGGGGGAAAAATAGATGACAACCCCGTTAATCCGCGCTGTGGTTACGGATCAGCTGCGCTGCTGCGTTCACCCGAAACGTCCGGTGAGCGCGGTGCGTTATGGTGAACACGGATGATAGCTCACAAACCGCTACAACAACAACAACAACAACACCGCATAGACAGCCTCTTACCTCTCTCGTTGAGCCTGCTGTCCGCGTCCCGGTGCCGCTGGACGACGCGCTCGTCGTGGTGACTCTGGAAACCGTCTTTACGCGTCGCTGTGTCCGAGTCATCCTGCAGCGCTGCGCGGTGACAACTGCCCCAGTTCCTCCCGCTGGTTTTCAGATTGAGGATGCTGTCAATGGTGAATTTCAGAGAGGCGGCGGGTCGGCGTGGTGCGTCCACTTTGTTCATATTCTCCAAAGGTTGGGTCCTGTTTTTTCTTCTCCTTTTTTGTCTTGTTCCGCGACTCTACTCGCCGTAAAGTCTGAACCGGGACGTTAAAATGACGGCTGACGTCTCGGCGCTGCGCGCAGCATAGCAGCAGCTCCTGAGCAGACACCGCCGGGCTGTTGATGCTCTGCGCGTACCGTCGCCGCACGCACCCGATGCAGCGCGCCGCGCTCGTTGATTGGTCCAGAGAAGCGTGCGGCGGGCCGTGGGGCCAGTGACACGGAGGGGATGGGAGGAGAGGGCAGGGCGGGAGGGAGGGAAGGAGGGAGAGTGTTGTTGTTCCCTCCCTCTCCCCCCCGACTCGTCCCTTTCTTCCTCATAAATGTTACAGCTGCAGAGAGACGCGGGCTCTGCAAGGGCCCCCGAGGGGCAATGAGGAGTTCATTAATGTCCCCGTTATTTCACACCACGCTGTTTTCGCGCAGCGAGACACACTTGACGGTGGTTCTGATTTAGCCAGCAGCCTGGATGCGTTTCTTTCTGAAGTTCGGCCGGGCTGCTTCAGAAACTTAAAAAAAAAACTGATCACAAAGCCGAATGTCTATCTATTATAATTTAAATCGCTTTGTGTCTATCCGTGACATTTTAGTTTAGTGTCTTTCAAAAGTATTGTCTCTTTAATAATTAGGATTGTTTTTCTATGTGAGTGAACGCTGCTGCATTTACCAGTAGGCGTGGAAACAGCATTAGATCATACAGATTCAATGTAGGCTGCATATTTCTGTCCATCGTGTTTTCTTTAGCGCTAATTCCACATGAAGAGATATCCGCGCATTGCTGAATTGACAGGTGGTGTGTCTACTGATTTTGCCATGATTGAGTATCTACGTTGTACAATCAACACATGGGAACAATTTGTTAACTGCTTGGCATTTTTTTTGTTTTGAAATTAGACTTTCAGATGGATTTTTCTATCCGGATCAATACAAAGAGCGACCAATGATTGTTTAATAGTTGGGCGCCTTAATGGAGAGCGGGGTATGATCGCAACAGAGATGCATGCCTATGGTAAGGTGTTTTTCTATAGCCTGTCACAGCTCAGGTGCACCCTATAAACCTATCTACCCTCATGTTCATGATCATTGAAGCACATTTAAGTTGATTACATATTGATAAACAAAGTAAAAAACGACAATTATAGTTGTTGTTGTTGTTGTTTTATTATGTGGAAAAAGTGACAAAGTTGAACGTGTGACTTTAAATATAAAACTTTGCAAAAATATGTGTGTATTCAAACATACAGTTACAGGACAGCATCGGCTTCGCCTGCTCTCGTTATTCACACACTCCCGTGGAGGTTTATGGTGCAGATAATCCATTACTGTTCCCTGTAATTGGTGTCTGCCGCTCTTCTCTTTGGATGCAGTCAATGGTTTTTCTGTGACATTCTGGGTTATTGCACGACTGGGTGTAATTCACGTCAAACACACAGCTTCTTCAACAGTCTTTAAACCAAGCCGGTCATCTGTGACCTGAGCATGCTCATGGAGTGTGCGAACGAGGACAGAGGGTAGTTGATGGAGCCGGAGAAGCCCGTGACCGCTGGAGAGAGAACGCGTGCGTTCAGATTGAACCCCAGCCCCGCAGAGGTCGTGGGTCCCTCGTGGTACAGGATGGGGACCCTGACAATCCGCTGGGTCGAATGGGGGACGTGCGCGGCCTCGAGGTCCGCCGCCAGCTGTCTCTTCCATTTATTCCTGCGGTTCTGAAACCATATTTTGACCTGGGTCTCTGTCAGGTGGAGGGACACCGCCAGGCCCGCTCTCTCCGAACTGCTCAGGTAGCGTTTCACGTCGAAGGTGGACTCCAGCTGGAACACCTGACTGCGGCTGAACACGGTCCGGGTCTTCTTCTTGCGGGTGGAGCTCGGATCCGAGGACGCGTCCAGCTCCGACCGTGCGTCGAAACCGCTGTGCACGTCGTCGTTGTCGTCCGTCAGGCTGCTGTCGGCGGTTTTCCGGTCAGTTTCGTCGCTGCTCTCCGTTATCGGCTCGGACACGGCGGGAGAGCACCGATCACTGTTCGATATGGAGCAGAAGTGGTCGTCGGAACTTGTATTATCTCTTGGACCTGAAAGGAGAGAAGACAGGAACGCGGGTGACTTTCATGGCACATTGTTTCCCAGCGCAGCTTTCTGGCGCCCTGGTTCCCCCGATTTAAGGGGTAGATTGCAAATGGCATTCAAATTGATTACATTTCCAAAAGTTTTTTTTTTTTTTCAAGTATGAAAACGTCAGAGAGGAAACGTCTGATCTCCTCCAACTTTTCCGTCGATTTCTTCCGACGCAGCCTTTTTTTTTCTTTCTTTCAGATGAAGTGAATTATTCCACCACGTTTAAACACGTTATATCAGAGGGAATGTGTTTCGATGCTATTGCGTAACAATAACAATAATCTATGTGGGGGTGTTGTGTCGTGCCTGTCGGATACAGATGAGAAAAACAGCTTAACAGTCCACCGAAGGACACCCCGGTTCCTCGCAATTAATAAATGAATAATGACGTCTAACCATGTGTGAGGGGCTTTGGCAAGGGGCTGAACCGACTGTTGGAATGTTAAAATCAAAGTATCTGACATGAAGAGGAGGAGCACTTAGTTTTAATGTGGGGGCCAGTGTGTGTGTGTGTGTGTGTGTGTGTGTGTGTGTGTGTGTGTGTGTGTGTGTGTGTGTGTGTGTGTGTGTGTGTTTTCCCAGTAGAGGAAGAATTTCATGTATGCTTATCAGTCTCCACAATCGACTCTTCCTGACTTGGCCTTTAATAAATGTACAAATCGAAACCGAATAGTTGAATAAAAAACTGAGAAACTAAATTATCATTTGTCAACGATGAATTGCACATTACTCATACTTATTTGTATAGCTAGATTATCTGAAATGATATTCTATTAGCCTATTCGTAAATCCCTGCTGACAGTAACAAACTGTCTGAGGCTGCGCACACGCAATCGTCTTGTATATTTTCGGGAAATACACGTATTTGTTAGGACGCAAACAGCAACACTCTACTCACTATGTGGCTTTTCCAAACCTCGGTGGTTTAAGGCGGCCGCTCCCCCGCCGTACCACCGCAGTGTCGCGTCGGTGTCCGGGTACCGAGTGGTGGGGCTGGAGCCATCGGGCGCCAGAGCGCTCGCGTCGGCGTGGTGTACTTTTTGGACTCGGCCGGTGGAGCGCGTCTCTAAACCGGCCGCCCCGCGGCTCCTGTCCATAAGCGATTCGTGTCCATTCCGTCCCTTGCCAAGAAGGTTCTCGATGAAAAACGACGATGCGTTGGACGAAGTGCGCGTCTGGTTGTCCGTTTGCTTCTCCTGCATGTTGTTGTGTTAATTCTACGGTGCTTTTACGCAATAATTGAGCGCATCGCGTGTTGCTGCGCATTAAGCCGAATCCAAGCATTCAGTCCAGGCATCGCTGGCGTTGCTCCTTGATTGGATGTAGAGTCACGGCAGATACGGCACGGGACGGGGATCTCCTCGGTGCCAGCGGGAGGCGAGGGAGACGGGGACACGGAAGCAGCAGTACAGTGAAACGTCAAGTCAAATCCCCGACAGGGCGCCCAGCGATTGGACGAGCGCAACAGCAAATGGGCTTTTCCAAGGAAAGGAGAATTTGTCACTGCCCCCCCCCCCCCCCTCTCTCTCTCTCTCTCTCTCTCTGTGCGCGCGCGTGTGCCAGCGTGCAGCTCAGTCCTTTTGGAGAAAACTCCTGTTCGTGGTTCACTAGTCGTTTGTTTGTGTCATTTAGTGAAATTCCGAATAAAGATCCGCAGGTCGCTCCGACATGGAAGGCTGCAGTCAGTCATTCACCGACAGGGAACGACAGTCTGAGCACGTGTGTTTGCGTGTGTGTGTGCGCGCGCGCGCGCGTTCGGCTCGGCCTTTCTGTCATTTTACGAATGCACGGCAAAATAAGCTCACTTAAGATGCCTCGTGTGTTACATAAAGTTTGGATAACCTTGGACATCATATGGATACTTTCCGTTACGCATGGCCTGAATGTGTGTTCGGTGTATGAGTGCACCAGTCTAATTAGGGTATTTAAAGAATTTTCTTTCCGCGTTTCCTGCTACAACTAAAAATAAAAATAAACCTTATATCGAAATGAATGTCGGTGCATAAACTGCAGTGCACCCGACGTTTGATCCATCGTTTGTCTCTTTTATTTTTATAATATATAAAGACGACCTTTCCATTTTACTTTAAGCCCGCAGTTCCTCCGAATATTCGCAAAGCCCCGTTAAAAAGTATAAGTAAGAGCCTACTGTTATCATCGATCGATCATAACTATCATCTGAAACATTTAAATCACTGCTGACGGGCGTCTTTACCCTTTACGCTGAAATGGCAAGACATTTGAGCTTTTTATTTCTCCTTAATGCAGTCAGCGGCGATGACCTTTAACTACCCCCTCCCCCCCCCCACACACACACACACACACACACACGCGCACACACAGACCTTAAGGCAGACTTGCCCTTTGACCGAGGATCAGTGGTACGTTGCTCTTCAGCCTCACACTCCTCGGAGGCCACATTAACATGAGCCGTGCGTTGAGTCCTGCACCTGCCGGGTCGCCTAATGTCCGTTTGCGTCTCGTTGTTTCCACCCGCGTTTCTCCCGCGAGCGCACAACTAACAGCTATTTTTCATTGGATCAATTGTCGGCTGTGGTATTGACGCAAAGATATCCTTTTTGGACGACCATTGTATGAAGAACTTAATCTGGAGAAAAATAATAGGCAATAATATGTGTTTAGTGTTTCTACACAAATATATATATAAAAAAAATAGTTGCCTGATGCTTTTCAGATTCTTTGTTCATTTTGTTAAATTATGTTTTGATGGTTCTTTCTTAAGCAAACAACACAGCCTTCTACTGCATTTATCGTTTAGCTTTTGGAGCTGTCAAACTTGTAACTAAATTATTACTACTTAGTCCGGTGGTCCCATCCTACAGCGTCAGACCAAAGGAACATAAATCGGAATAAAGAAAAAGATCTGTTGAACAAATTTGTATTTTTTTTTTTACTTTTCTCACATCTCTATCTCTCTTAACTGCTATTAAATTAAACCACATGAGACCTCGTATACATCAACATGACAAGAACTTCCATGCAATGGGTTATAGGGGCCAGAAAGGACCTGATCAAACGATTTAATATCTGATAGTATCCCACTCTTCAGGCTCATGATTTAAAAAAAAAAAATCTTAATCAGAGGTGGCTGTAATATGAATGTTGAGTAAAATACTTTAAGCAACGTGGAAATGTAAATATTTAAATAAAGTACAAGTAATAAATAAAGTAGAGCACTTGAGTAAATGTATTACCTGCTCTTTTATGAAAATATTTCACCTTGTCAAAACTCCACATTAGATCAGGTTTCTCTGTGTACAGATGGCCGTCTGAACGATGTGGCACCCCGGCCAGTGCCCCCTGCTCTGGGGGGCCGACAGCCTAGACCCAGAGGCCCCGTGCTCACTTTCCTCTTTCCTCCTCTGATCCTTATCCAGCCTGGCGTGCCCTTTGCTGTATATGACCTGCTGGCCTGCTGCACAGCCACAGCCCTCTGCATGCCACAACAGCTCTGAAGCACAGTTTCACCACACAAATTCACATCATCAGTGAGACAGCTGCATCAAATTGAGCGTGTTTCGCCCGGTTGGCGGCAGTGAGTGTTTTGCAGCCCTCGGTGCAGCCGGGCCTTTAAGCAGCAAAAACAATCTGTGTTGTTACACTCCGTGAGGTGGCGGCTCTAATGCAGAATTGTTTGAACACCAAATTGAATATGCGTATATATGTGTGTATATGCTATGACTCCTTGCTAGAAAATAATATAAAAACGTTCCATTCAAATGATTCAACATCTGAAAGGAGTGAAATTTGTACAGATTTGTATATATTCTGCCATTTCTATTGACATTGTTTACTACATTGTGTCTTCAAACATGTAATGCAGACGTTAAATCATCATTATATTCCCATGCTGTCTGCTGTTTTTTTTTTACCTTTTGAAATTACCCATGTCTAATTCCCCTTTTGTAAACAGCCATTATACTCCCTGAAGTGTGACTTTAAGCTGAGGAGTCTTCCTGTCCCAGTAGGGGTTTACAGTCAATGAAGGTGGAGACAGTTTGACCTAGTTCATTACACTGCAGGCAGGCAGAGGCAGGAAGGCCAGCGTCTCCTCTGGGGCATTTCACGGCTCTCTCTACTTTAAGAGGTTTCCTTAGTGACTCAGTGAAGTATAGTGACCTCAGCTGACATTCATTTGAAGCAAGACTCTTAAACATGTATGAGAAACAGTAAAACACAGATCCATTTGTACGTCGCTTTTGTTTTTCGTCAATGAGATGATTTCGGCTCAAACAAAGAAAAATGTCCCTAAACGTTAATGAAGTTGACAAAAGTGATACACTGAGACATGTGTCAATCATACAGATCTGAGATCGGCCATGTTAGCAGACACTTGTTTTGGTCTTGATAGACAGCCCTCTAATGGTGAACAGGGTGCAATGCATCTACGGTTTGGTTTTCATCGTTTATGCACTAACCACCTTGCACCATGCTGATTACAAAGCAGCCAAAACAGTGTTCTTACAGGACCCCTAAGATCGTTTTGAGTTGGCCTTTCCATTTCCAGTTATATTATTAACATTTGTATTTGGAGCCTGTTCTAAGAACTTTCTCCTCTTCTTGCTATTCAGGATTTTGTAGAATTTGTATTTAACGAATCGCGTTGAAGTTTTCTGCATCCTAATAAAATGTCAAAGCATTCTTTCATGAATGCCAAGCCAGCTTAGCCCGGATCATGCTACCTCTGGCATTAATAATTCACTGTACGGAATAAGTAGATGCTGCAGAGTTTGTGCTCATTGATAGTATTAGCCGAGGTGAGCATTCCTGGCCAGACTTTGTGACGCCAGCAGACCATTATAAAGTGGGCTTTAATTGCCCCAAATCTCTGCCGCTCTCTATCCTCTCAGTGCCAGCGAACAGCATATACCCTACACATGGCAGACCGGAGCAGGGCAGGGTCTTTATCAACGCAAGCCTCGCAAAGAGGAAGGCTTGGAAGAGATTTTGGAGAACACAATGGACTTCAGAGTGTTTGGGGAATTTTTTATGTCACTTGTGCTTTAATCTCAAGTCAACACACTTATATTTGTTTCAAAAGTGTTTGCTTTGCACATTGGGCACATTGTTCTCCCTCTTAAGACACACTTAACTGATATTGCCACAGCTGAAAATCATTTGTACAGAAGAACTCACTCAGAGACGCCACTTTCCTCCCACATCTGTTTGCTCTGTCCGTGATGTGCAAGTTTATCTCTCTCATCGTGAAGACTGCGAGCTGCTGTAACCTAGTTTCCAAATCATTCTGCCTCATGTATTTGTGTCAGTGGGCCACTCATTTGAGGAATACAGTTTGTTTTAGCAACATAGCTGATCGTTAATGTAGCACAGTAGTCAATTACGCAAATTCCATCAAATGAAGTCCAAATAGATTCACCCGGAGGAAAATGTGGTTGGGCCGATGCCCCTGACTGGCTTTGAAAATTACTTTTTTAAAATTCTAATATTAATTCTAATAAGCTTATTTAGCAATCCACTAATTCTACTTACTCTGATCTATTTAAAAAAATCAGAAATGAGGAAACAATTATTACCATGTCAGACATACGAGGAATATGACTTGGCGATAGTAGACAATGCACAGATACGGCGACATAGTGCAAGAGGAATGAAATAAATTATAATTATATGGGTTACAATATAAGGTTGTGTTAGTTTAAAAATAAAGGAATAACAAAATGTTAAAAAGTTGAAAGCACCGAAGCGCTGTGGCAGCCATCATCAGCGCCATCCTGCACTAAGATGAAGGCCCCGATTAAAGCAAATATGCCTCATCCATATGCTCATTTTGGTTTGATTTTCACAAAACTGTACATACAAATCTGTCAGGTTAGATGAAAATAAATTCAAACACAAATACCTTCATATACAAATCCTAAAATCCTGTTAAGACGGCCAATGCAATTCATATAATTTTATTTAAATATAGAACTTAACAAATCAGCATGTATATAAAAAAAAATTGCGGTGAGTTTACCTCCAATCCCGAGTTAAAATCTGGGACCACCACTGCGAAATATCCCACGTAGGCTTAATGTGTCTGAAGGCTTTCTGAAGGGAATGTCCGTTTGTTTAACCTCTTCACGGCACGTTAACCCCTGTCAGGACGCACTCGTCAGCCCAGTACAAAGGGGCTGGATAGTGGGGGACCTTTACCCCTCGATCGACCCTCTGCTCCCATCCGAGCACGCGTTCCTGACAAGTGCCCAGCACCTTCCAAAAGATGACCTCAAAATAATAAATAATACAATTCCAAAGGCATATGTTGGTAAGGATGGTGTAAAAATGATGGACAAAAGTTGTGCGTTTTGTGAACGCCACTGCCCTTCGCGGTAGTAAATTGGCGAGGTGCACGATCCCTTTTTCATTTCTTACCGTAGTTGAAAACACGTGGCCGCGGGACTCGCGCTGACCTCCTGTAATAAGCTTACGGTCAAATAGATCCGCGTGCGTGAGAAGCCGAGGCCGCCACGCTCACAAGTGTTGAACCCGTTTTTGAATCAAATGGCGAAAAAGAGAGAAATCCGGTTGAACTTCTTTTGAGTGTTTAGTGAAACTTTGGCCCGAGTCCGTGCGCAATCGGTGGTACCCGATGCAGCTCAGACTAAACCATAACGCACGCACACGCACATTATTTAACCGCTGTTGAACATATTTTGTTTAAGTGATCTGACTTTATAGACTTCTGTTATTCTATAATCACATCTCTGGCACACGCTGGACTGTAACTGTTTTACAGCTGCAAAAGTTTATTTTCATTTTTTAAATTGAAAACAACATTGTTGAGAGGCGATTACAGTTTAAATGAACGCAGGAAAAAAAACGACCGATGTTGGATTAATTCATTAAACTTGATGTTTTTTTTTACGATAGAGCTTCTGCAGCAACAAAAGGGCTGCGAACCAAGACACCGACTCTCTCTTTCTTTGAGCTCGTGCTCAGATCAAACGATCGCGTGAGAAAGAAGAGGAGGGCAAGAGACACGCGGTTAGAGGGGTCGAGAGATGAGGAAGGCCAAGGCCGTCTGAGCACAAATTACTTTATTAATCAGAGACAGACTCATTAGTGTCTCATTCTTAATGTGCACTGAATGGATGTCAGCAGTTTCACATTCATTTTACACTTGCAGTATAGTTTTTGTGAAGATTTTGTGAATCTTTGGAAGACATATTTGACTAAGAATATTTAAACAAAACATAAACAAAAGGTAATCTCAAATTAATTTGATATTAAACCTTTTTTAATGATATCCGTTGTACTGTGAGGCACACATGTGAGATAGTTGCAGTTGTTGTTGCTTACTTTTCTACTTTTAAACTCCATTTGTGATGGGTTGGCTTTCCTTTTTATTCATAAAATGAGGAAATCCCTCAAATTACTTAAAAAGCCAAACTTGCATTTTCCATTTGTTATAGTTTATTGTTATTGTAATTTAATAAATATATATTCTAATGCTGTTAAACTAACTCTCAAACTAACTCTCAAATGATTTGATTAATGATGAATACAGTGATGCAGTCACAAACCCCAATGCTTAATGCTTTAATGGTTATTTGCATTGCAAAAATCAGTAAAAATGTTTTACGGTGGACCATGAAGGGCTTTTTAAGCTACTTTGTCTGAAACAAACAATACAAAATCCAACAAATAATGACAAAGAAAGACGGTTGCAGCAAAAAAAATAAAACGGCTACTGAACGACTAATCAACTTAAATGCACATTATTTACAAATGTGTTTGTCTTATATAGAAAATGCAAAACACATCTATTTTTTTTAAAGCTTTGAACTTAAATTAAAAAAGTTCAATTTAACTCCTAAAAAATAAATGAATAAGGTAAATGGGCTAAGTGTGGCTATAACTTTATAACTAAAAGAGATAAAGGTAAATTGAATGAGGTAAGCTTGCCAGGAAAATGTGTGACACATATATCTCTCTTTGATCAATAAAGGATTGAACAACACAGGAAAAAACGTTGAAATTAAAGTGTATATTTTTTCATCTCTCTGGTTCTTTTTAAATAATGATATGGAAATATAGCTGAAATATTCTGAAAACTAACTTAATTATTACCTTGATTTGAATCACTGAATAATATTGAATTGTCCAGAGCACATTATCATGCAGAGGATCTGAGAAAAGACACTCATTCAGACACTTCAGAAATTGAACAAGGTGCAAAGGAAGCAGAAGAGGATAAAAGTGGGGCAGAAGAAACTGGGGGGAGAGTTGAGCAAAGAGTAAAGGAAAGCCAGGCCAGCTAACCTAAACTGAAGCGACATAAAAGAGTAAAGAGCCTTGTGTGTGTATGAGTATAGTTAAGTGTGTGTGTGTGTGTGTGTGTGTGTGTGTGTGGACCGTACATGCGCGTGCGTTAGTGAGACACCAGGCTGACCTGTGTTTTCAGTCTTGTCACGCGACGTTCCTCGAAGCCCCACCCCTGTTCCTCTTCACTTCCTGAGTGTGTGTGGAGTCCGTATGACCCACCAACCAACCAACCCACACTCACACACACACATCTGTGAAATGGCCTATTTTCACTGATTCCCAGGCTTAAATGATTAGAGGCTCCATACTGGTAGTTTGCAGGGGATGGGGCATGTTCTGGTCCTTTAATGTGCTGTCAGTTAATTAGTAAATACAACGTTCACCCTAATCGGACCCTCCCCCTCTGGATCTAAGTGATAAACAGTATGTGTGCGCACAATACCATTGATGAATGTTATGATGCCTCAAATCTCTATTTCATCCTGATGGGGGTCTTTGCGGTAAGGATCACCATGGAGACTCTACACGACAGCCCACTGAAATCAAAGGGTCAGTCGGATCGAGTGAAGGGAAAATGCTTCTGTTATTCCTAGTCATGTGACACTAAAGCGATGAAGGAATTGAAGCGTCAAGTTGAACAAATCAACTTGAGGTTTGTCTTCCAAAGAATGACTTCATCAAATTTAAACACTATTTGCAATAAATATGTATTTTACCCAAATGTGTGTTATCTAATTTTATAGCTAAACGTTGTCCTGAATGTGCTTGGATTGGATGCTAAAGACCTCTCACTTATTTACATATAATGACATTATTCAAACAATACCTTTTTTTCAATTTTACCATACTGATTCAGTTTGCTAAAGCTTTTAGCAAAAACAGGACATTTGT